ATTGAAATTTTCCTCAGTTGTCTGATAGACGATTGACTGTTCTCCACTTGCAGAATCATTCACCTCCATTCTTGTAATAATTGAAGGTGAAGTCACATTAGACAACAATTTTAAAAATTCATCCAGTGAGAATCGTTCCAAGAGAATACTTTTCACTAACGGAGATGATATTAATATTGTTGAATTATTAGAGAAATTTGGTGTAGTGATGTGTGCAGTCCTCTTCAAGCTGGATGATGATAACTGTTGTGCATCCACAAGATTTACAATTACACCACAACAAAAGGCAACAATCAAGTTGACCAACAGCCCAAACAGTAACATGCTGGGGCTCATGATGCGAGAGACCATTTTTTTGTTGTGCAGGTGTACAATTTTCCATATTTACAATACAATCACGTCTGCGTACTTGTCACATGTAAACTTCTCATACAGGTAAAAAGAGCTTTCTAGGTTGTTTACAAAATTGACATTTTCCTTTGTCTTATACGTCATTTACTGAAAGCTTTGCATTTGTTTCGAAATCATATACAATAACTTGCATCCAAGCATCCTCTCCTAAGCATTCCTTCATGTACTTGATAAATTCATCTTGTGACATTGATGTCGATGCACAATTGTGCAGAGGATGGAACAAGAGCATAGTTGTGAACTCCTTACTCTTTCTCAAAATTTTGGCATCCACAATAATGGTCAATGTTTTCATATTGGAAACAATTGATGGATTTTCCTCAGTTGAAACAAGAACATCAGGCCTCTTTTCTTGAACCTTTGGATGTAATAAATGGAAAGCGAGTGGAGTGACATTGCCAGGTAAGATATCTAAATAATTAGTTAATTCTGCACTATCAGCAAATCTCAAATTTCCTGATCCTAATCCAAGATTTTTAGAGAGTGCATTCATTTCAACTTGAGTATCAGTACAAGCAACTCCATAGAATTTGTTTTGTTTCTTCTTCTTGTGATTTAAAAAGAAGTTTTTACATAATTTAAATTTGACTTGATCCGAATCGACATATCTACCCTCTACAGCTTTTAACCAATCATCAACAGTGTCTGATTGAGCATGATAACTAGTATCTGCTTTCATTCCAAGTTCGGAACGAAGAAAATTTAACAGAATGGATTCTTTTTGTTCAATAGTTAATTCTGTAGCCATTTTTTTAATTTCTTTCTTGATGAGTGATAACATGTATGATGAGTGTTAATATTTTAATCTTAAAGAAAATAATATTCAAGGCTAAAATGTGTTGAGATCATCAATTTCAATTAAATATTTATTAATAAATTATAAATTATTAATAAAAATGAATCATACACCATCTTCGTCTTCCCTACAACCATCTTCGGATGCAAATTATCAAATGACCTTTGCAGGATCGGAACAACAGCAACCAATCAGACAAATTGTAGATATGCCTGTTGCAAGAGTGAGGAGAATAATGAAAAGTGATGCTGATGTTCGAACAATCTCACAAGAAGCTGTTGTTTTGGTTTCCAAAGCTGCAGAAAAATTAATTGAACATTTAGCTAGAGAATCATTGAAGAATACAATTAGAGACAATAGAAAAACCGTAAATTATAACGATTTATCGGAGGCTGTTAAAAGTCAAGATTATTTTGATTTTCTTGAGGATATTATACCTGAAAGGAAGACTTTGGAATCAATTCTAGAAGCTGCCAAGAAGGAACAATAATTGTAAATGATTGTAAAATATATATTTGAAATTTTAATCCTTTTATTCAACCTTCTTCTTTTTGAATCTGGATTCTGTAACATTCTTATTTGAGAAACCTTTTCTCTTATTATTGACTTCTTCCTTGATGATCTTTGCATGATTAAAATCAATCTCTGTAACTTCTTGTTTACAAACAGGGCAAGTATGTCCATAATCTTTCAACCATTTCTCTATACATTCTGTATGAAATTTGTGATTACAAAAAGGTATTTCACTAGCAAACGATCCAACTTCTAAATCTTCCAAACAAATACTACAAGTGCATTCCTTCTCTTCAATATGTACAATTGGTAATTTTCCAACAACAGAGGCTGCTGTCTTTTTTGATGCCTTTTCAACATTATCATCCAAAGCTAGAAGCATTTCATAATCTCTGTCATCAAAGTCTCTATTTACAAACATTAATGGATGGATAGCTCCTCCCACTTGGTGACGTTGGGTTCGTGCAAT